AGGCCTGACCAAGCAGAACTGGTTGATTAATCGATTGCCTGTGAGTACAGCTCGGCAGTTAACCAGATTAATCAATTACCTACAAGTAGAACTGGGCAATTAACTCAATTAATATATTAGTGCTGTATAAAATAATCAACTAATAGAAATTAGTGTTTTCAATTATTTTTGATTAATCTTACTATCTGTGTCTCTCTTTATTACCATTATGATTTCTCACAGTTTACTGACTGAAGGTTTTTGCTTGTTATATTAATTTCCTACAGTATATTGAACCAAACTACTAGGCTGCACCAAAATTTGAAGTTTAGTGTTTTACCTGCAGTTTAATTTTCTTCTGCCCGTGATTTAACACCATTGTTTACAGTGAGGTTACTGTTCTTTACTATATGGGAGAAACGAATAACAGATTGCCTTTATTGCTTCAACTAGACTTTTCCCTCATGTTTCGCTGAGTGGTTTTGTTCTAAGATTTAGGCTTTTGTTGTGTTGTTTAAAGAAGGCCCACGATGTGTAGAAGCTGAGAAAAAGGTATATATGCTTTGAATCGGGCTGACTCAACAGCTTCTGTGCAATCATTTAGCACTGAGTTAAGTGATTGGGAATTGTATGGAATATAAAAGTAAACTTGTGTATTCAAGTCTCGTATCGTATTTTTGTGCTCTTGTTGTTTTTTCCTTTCATGTTGGCACTTTTTTAGTAGCCCTGTCATGTCTGCAGTGTTGAGTCCCAGCTCACAAAATTTCTCCAGAAACAATTCAGTCATTCCAGTCCTACTTGATTTTTTGAATTCCAAAAAATGCTATTGGATGCTTACACTGCCTGTCACGTTACTGCAGGTTTCATTCACTAACAAAACTATAAATACTAGAGTTTGGTTTTATTTATGTCAAGTGTGCAATCTAAAATCATCAAGTGATATTTTGCTTATTAAGCATTGACAGTACCATTTTTTTAATTTATGTTGCCAATATCTGAATGATCTCGTTTTGAATATTTTTGCCTAAGTAATAATTATGATGTGATTTTTCTGAGATGTCCTTTCATCACACCTTTAAACATCCATGATAGTTCCATGCATATGAAAACATTTCTATTATTGTGCTTGAACTGTTTATCTGAACTCCCATACAGTGCTGTGTTTTGAGTACCAAGTAGTTTTTAAAGGCAATAAGCTTTTTTAACACATTCTACAAGTGGTGCAATTATGCTTTAATAATGCATTGATTTTCATTGGTGACTTTTCATGTTTGTTTAAAAATGTAGACATGTTTTTTCAGTCTTGGGTACTATCTGATGCAAAAGCAAATTTTGCATTAAATAAGATTTTGCAACAAAATGCTCCATTTTTGCTCATTGGATAAACTAGCCATGGCCTCTCTACTTCTCTGTTTGTTAATGCTCGTATGTAACAAGTAGCAGTGAAGCTTCTGTTGCTACTGTCTTTAGGAAAATTAAACCTTTTCTATTGTTCCAATCTTTTGTACAATAGCAATTGTCTAAGATTGTTCTCTTTAGGCCATTTTGCAAGATCTTTTAAAACAGAATAATCTGAGCTGTAGCTTTATGTTGTGTTTTCACCCACTTTATTATAAAAGTTATCTTCAACTACATCTTGAATTTCTGATAATTTGAGATGAAGATGAAATATTTGCTGATTTTTCTATTTTTTTTACTGTCTCATCATTTTCATCCTGATTAATTCCCCTCCTGTCTGCAAACTGTTATTTGTGTACATGGGTACTGACTCCTGACATGATGATGCAGCTTGCCATTTACAAAAGGGATCCTTTTTGGCTCAGTATAAAAGTTTCTTTTTCAGAATTTCTTTTCCAATATTCCACCCCTGACAACCATTTTTCTCCTTAGGACATGTTAGAGGCTACTATATTTATAGACTTAGAAACACATCACACCAACAGAATTTCACCACAGTTTCTGTTAAAGAAATGAGGGTTATCTATGACCATGTAGAAAAAAACAGCAACTGTATATTATTGGTTCTTTTCGGAATGATACATTAACATGGAGGGCATTCCACACATAAAGGTGCTTAAAAAAATACAATTGATAGTTCTTAATTTACTGTAGCCTATTGTAACACATTTTTATATGTTTTATCAGACATCATAATATAACGCAAGCTGGGGAGAATAATAATAATAAAATCAAATTATGCTGCCCTCTGAATTTTGCTACCCTAGGCAATTGCCTGCTTCGTTTATCTGCTAAGGCTGGGCTTGGGTCTAACCTAATCGTCATTGGTTTAATAAGGAGCCAGAGTGATGCCTGTTGATGTTAAATGTAACTTTTACTTAATATATTGCTTACTTATTACATGCTACAAATGTCACCAATTAGATTATTTAGGGCAAGTTCACAAGAAGGAGAAAGGCTTGAGACCCCTCCACCTCTTAGCCGTATTTTGATAGTGAAAACTAATCTCTACTCGGAACTACTTCAAAGGACCGAGAAATAACTTTTTTGTGTTATTCACTCAGTAACCATTTATAGTATAAATGGAAGATGTTTATAGCTGCATTTCAGCCTCTCAACTGTGAGTTCTCTGTATGTGTGGTGCACAAATACAACCTGTGTGTGTGTGTAGAGTAATATTGATGTAAATAATGACTTCTTGTTTTGCATGTTGCTATAGTTATACCTAGACCTCAAATAATTGTTGATTGAATTATGTTATATATTTTTCATAATAATGGTCAAGTATGATTTAAAAGAAGAAAATTCCTGCCGTGTTTCACGTTAAAGATACAGAGGCTCTTGAGAGTAATTATTATAAAATATTTTGGTATGTTGTATCTGTGGTATTCTCATATAAACTGGTTTCTATGGAAGTATCAGATAGGTCCACTTAATAACAGGAGGATCGAACAGGTAATTTGCAAAGTAGTCTGAATTTGAACACCGACTTATAAGGAGATTGGCCATGTGATGTTAAATTAAACATTATTTATTAAAGACATAGCAAAAAAAATAAAAAGTATAGATTCTTACACACACTTGCCTCTACTGCATCTGTGAATATAGCGTCAGCTTTAGTTCCTTGATATCACTTATAATTGTTTTGAACAAGAAATATTCATGTTCAGAGAAGGTAGCTGACAATAAACACGTGTGTGAAAGTGAAACTGCAACTCTGAGTAGCAGGACTGTTGAGATTGAGGAGGAGGAAGTTGGCAAAGATGGGTTTGACATTGTGGATGCAAATGCAATAACTTTAGTCATTACAACTATTAGACAACCTCTCCTGGTTTAGTCTACTGTGACCATCTCAGCATTAACCAAACTTGTTGCATGTTCAGAAAGGAATTTGTTGTTCATTTCCATGAACATAAGGAAAGTTCATCAATGATTTTTTTTTCATCAGTTTGTAGTACCTGTATCCAGTTATGCTTTTCAAACTTTATCTGTTTTAAAGTGATTTTGATAAAAAAATGTGAAATACTCTACAAGTAAGTGATAGGTCCATTTATTTTTCAGCTATGTAAGTGATAGATCTAATTATTCTCTGACTATATATGTAAGTGATAGATCTAATTATTTTTTGACTATATGTAAGTGATAGGTCCATTTATTTTTCAACTATGTAAGTGATAGATCTAAGTATTCTCTAACTATATATGTAAGTGATAGATCTAATTATTCTCTGACTATATATGGAAGTGATAGATCTAATTATTCTTTGACTATATGTAAGTGATAGGTCCATTTATTTTTCAAATATGTAAGTGATAGATCTAATTATTCTCTGACTATACATGTAAGTGATAGATCTAATTATTCTCTGACTATACATATAAGTGATAGATCTAATTATTCTCTGACTATACATGTAAGTGATAGATCTAATTATTCTCTGACTATACATGTAAGTGATAGATCTAATTCTTCTCCGACTATATGTAAGGGATAGATCTAATTATTCTCCGACTATATGTAAGTGATAGATCTAATTATTCTCCGACTATATGGAAGTGATAGATCTAATTATTCTCCGACTATATGTAAGTGATAGATCTAATTATTCTCTGACTATATATGTAAGTGATAGATCTAATTATTCTCCGACTATATGTAAGGGATAGATCTAATTATTTTCTGGCTGTATATGGAAGTGATAGATCTAATTATTCTCCGACTATATGTAAGTGATAGATCTAATTATTCTTTTGCTGTATATGGAAGTGATAGATCTAATTATTCTTTTGCTGTATATGGAAGTGATAGATCTAATTATTCTCTGACTATATATGGAAGTGATAGATCTAATTATTCTCTGATTATATGTAAGTGATAGATCTAATTATTCTCTCAATATATATGTAAGTGATAGATCCTAATTATTTTCCGACTATATGTAAGTGATAGATCTAATTATTCTCTGACTATATGTAAGGGATAGATCTAATTATTCTCTGATTATATATGTAAGTGATAGATCTAATTATTTTCAGCTATTTATATAAATGATAAATACATTTATTCTGTGACTCTATGTAAGTGATAGATCCAATTATTCTCTGACTATACGTAAATGAGAGATATATTTATTCTCAGAATATGTATCCAAGTTATAGGTTCATTTCCTTTTTTTTCACTGCTTCAAGTAAATAGCTGGTGCTTTTTTTTACTAAAAATTGTATAAATAGTTTTGTGTTTCTAGTTTTTTTCCCCTGGACTAGAAATATCAGATTTTTATGACTTTAAATCAGTGAAATGATATCCTAATATTATACAACATTATAATACTGTTGATTTTATTGAGCATGGATGCTTGAAAGCATAATAAACATGTTAAGTTTGAATTAATGTTTTGTTGTCACCTTTATTTTGAGCAACTGGTATTGCATGTTTGGATAAGCAAATTCGATGTATATTGATATTAAATGCCTTTGCCTTGCAAGTTCATTTGCATTGAGTTTTGCATGTGTTTTGTGTTGATGTGGTTTTGGTTTGGTTTTTGTTTTTTCACTTACTCCTAGCACTTGTCCAGAGTAAGTTAAGATCAACAACTCTCGTTGCTGGTAGACCTTGTCAACATCATTCCTTTCTAACAGACCTTACAGATGTACGTCAAATGGAACAGGGACTGCTTCAGCTACTAGATGACTTCCACTCTGGAAAATTGCAAGCTTTTGGTAAGTTTCCATGAGTTAATCTGACTGTTTCTTTTAAATTTCGTCACTTAAATAATTTATATATATTCATACTGTTGTAATGTTTATCTTCTGTTGACAGTTTTTTTTTTAATTATGTGGTGAAAATAGTTTAAAGTCATGTTCACATAAACCTCAAAAATTAGTTTATTTCCTCCTTTCATGTTTCTACAAGTTTGAACAATCTTCATGTCTATCTCATTTATGATCTAGCTCTGAATGTGCAAGAAACATCTGATGTCAACTTAAAATTTTCTCGGCATTGCATGCCTTTTTGTTAACATTTTCTTAAAAGTTAAAAATACATCTTACAACATCACCACTTTCTGAATTGTGAAGTCTCTTCAACATTCCAAATGAAAAACAATTAATAAAATGCTACACTAAATTGTCTATACACCAAATCTTTTTTGGTGGCTTCTTGTCCTTGTTGTCAATGCAGGAGTTCTTCCTGGTTAGGTGGTCAGGTGGCTCCAAATTTGATGATCCACTGGAAGTAGTCTCAACAGGACTTCAGAGTTCTTGACCAGGTTGAGTTTCTGCTGGTAAGTTTTTCTCTGACCCAGTTGGTTGTTTTCTCATCAGTGTACTTCCAGAGATGATCATGATGGATGATCTTTGGCTTGGGTCACTTATACATTTGGATTCTGGAAAGCATATCATTAATTCTTTTCAGTACAGCATATGGTTCCTCTGAGCATATACTTAACTTTGGCTTTGTCCTCTTTCACTTCAATAACTGCTCGACCATATCATGTCACATTGATGGAATTCAGCTTTACATGTTCACATGTCAAGATGTTTTTTTCCCTTGTACAAAAGGAATTTTCTTTTTGACAAGTTTGTCAGTTATTTATGGAAAGTTTATTGAAAATATTTTTTTTTCCAGGTTATGAACTCGCAAGTTAATGTTACTGTTTCTTTGTCTAACGCTGATCAAAAAAAGTTTCAGCAAATTATACAAATTATAACTGTGGTGTCGGGCTTCTCTTTGTCTGTCAAGGTGTCAGGTATAGTGTGGCAGGAGTTGTAGGTCTACATGTGGCCTGGTCCCTCTTCTGACCTGAAGACAGATATTTCTTTGCCAGTGAAACCTGTTCAAGAGGATGATGATTTTGACCACCAGCTTTTGCTTCAACTACAACTTCTCTGCTATTGACCTTACTAGACATTCTTCTTTCCTGGACATGATCTCTCAGGTTTGCTATATTTTGCCCCTTTATCCTCTATCTTGTGATTCCTCACAGTCTCTTCTTCATTCAGCCCCTGCTACCGACTTTTATGTATTCTGTCCTTCTTCTCATATTCAGATCCATGCTAATCAATTTCTTTCTCACCCTTGTGATGGTGCTAGTATGAAAAGTCTCCTCAACTAATAGATACCCCTGTCTTGTTTTTCTTTGTTTTTTCTTCTTCTCTGTTTCCTGTGCTCCTGATGTTTCCTCCTCCAAAGGATCCTGTTTCTTGCCAGCATCTGTCTGGATCTATTAGCAAAAGGCAACACAAAATGGGTTTTTTATCCTTAAATAAAATAATAAAACGAAGATCAACGTTTTTTACTAGCACAAACATTTACTTGTAAAGTTAAAAAATTAAAAATATACAAGTTAAAAGAAACTTAAAACTCTACATGTTTCGGTGTAAATAATTACACCATCTTCAGGAGAATCCATCAAAAAATACACATAACACTGCTTATAAACCTAAGGTACGTGTATAATTAGCATACAGGTAGAATGGTGCCATTTACAACAATAATTTCCAAAAATTTATTTCGGTGGCTCCTGGGCCTAAATTTCTATTTAAATTTATTTTGTTTTTAACAATTGCTAAATATTCTCTTATATTTAATTCATCTTTATCAGTTAACTGTTTAAGAATTTTTTACATTATCCTAATCAATAATATGCTTAAAATTTGCCACATGTTCCGCCAAAGCCGATTCACCAATTTTTAATTTATTCACAGCATTTTGATGTTCTTTTACTCTAAATGTAAGATTCTTACTTGTCTGTCCAATGTAACTTATACTCTGGGATTTTATTCTCATCTGTTTGTAGTTCCCCAAGGTTATCCTCTAGGTCTTTGGATAAACAAGATGGACGTTGTGGATGCTTAACTTCACATTTCCATTTCCCCTGCATTCAGACTTTACATTTGTTTTGTTCAGTGAGGTCAAATTTTTCAATTCTGTGTTTTCCAATTTGGCCTAATTTCAGCCCGTTATATTTTTTGTCAGATAGTTAAAGCTTTTGCTCATCACATTCATGGCTTGGGAATAATTTCACCATTATATGAATGATTGGCTACTTTTACCTCCATCCCAACAAGCCTCTTATAACCATACTCTTCTCCTTTGGGAGGCAGAACATTTAGGTTGGCTTGTAAAAATGAAATCACATTCCACACCCATCCAATATCTCATTCATTTGGGTGTGTTCTTCAATTTGCACATCAGCACGGCCCAACCTTATCAGTTTTATTTGAAAGATATGGAGCATTTAGTTTCCAAGGCTTCATCTTTTGTATTTTGGGGACTTGGACTTCAATGGAAGCCCTTATCTCTTTGGGTCATGCTTGTATGCATTATCTGCAGTGGACTTTGGATCATTGGAACCTCACACAGGATCCTTTGTCTTCCACTATTTACCTTCCTCCTTCAATGACTTCACCTGGTGGCATGACAAAACCAATAGTTCCTCCCTCTCATCCAGATCTTCATCTGTCCTCAAGTTTTGTGCAACCGTGATCTGTGTATGATCTTCAACTCTGAAGATCTCCTCTTTGGAAGTGTCCTTCAGATGCTTTCAAAGGATGCTTCTTTCTTTCCCTTGCAATGGTCCTTCCACCTATTCAATGTGGGATTCTAGGTATTTATGTGAGAAGAGGTAATGTACCATATTGGAAGTTATAATTTTACTGTACAAAAAAATTATTTTTGATAGGTACTTACCTCTCTCACACTTCCTGCCCTTCCTTCCCACTGAAAACTGGTGCTTCCATTTTCTGCCAAAACTTGAAGTCATAGTTCGGTATAATTGAATAGAGGGAGTCACATGCATCAAGAGAGTATGTTGCACTCTTATTGGTGGAGGGTTGTTGCATGTGAGATGCATTGGAATCAGTAAATTCCAGATGGGTAGGAGTTTCAAGGCTTGTGTCATGCACAAACCGATTTTGCAAATAGAGGGCAGCACTGAAGAAGAATAACTATTTATGTGAGGGGAGGTAAGTACCTATTGGAAATACATTTTCAATATAGGAAAATTATAGCTTTCATTATCTCACTGTAGAATATCTAGTGGCTGGTAATAAGTTCCAACTAAATACTTCTCTTCTTATAACCAAAAAACAAACAGATTCTACCTCCTTGTTGTTATCTTTGATATCTTCAACTTTATCAGAATGCAACTCATATTTTACACATAAAGCCACTTTTTCCATTATTTTTATGTACTCTATCTCCATCAAATATAACCCTGTATTTCAAACATATTTATATTATCAAAATTGTCTACATTTAACCAAGTTTTAGTTATTCCCGTTACATCAAAATTCTGTGTTTCAACCAATGCACTGAGTTCTGCTTTATTTCTAATATTTCATGCATTACAATAATAACAGTTCAGATTACCTTTAAAACTACTTTTGTACTTTGTCCCTATATTATGATTTCCTCAACATATTATTTTTACCTCATTTAGTTTATTCTGACCTTTAGTCTTTGCTTAAAATTGTCCTTACAATTTGGTTATCAGTTGTTGTGAAGAAGCTAGACCCTACTCTATATAAATGTAAACCATCTTCTTCAATTTCCCATTAAACTGATTCCATAAGTCTAACTAACCTATCTGCTTGTCCTTACTTATTAACCCTATCAAGATTGGTAGGGGTCAGAGGGCATGTCATCACGTATGTAGATTTACATTCAACATTTTATTTAGCTATTATTTTATAAATGCATGTCAATAAGTTTGGTATCAAAATGTAGATTATAATTCAAATTTTAGTATTGTACATTAATTAGTTTCTTAATTTGAAACTAAATATTTATAAAAAAAAAGGATAAATATTGATTTTTGTGTGTAACGTGGCCTTCTGGGTTTGGTCAGAATACATTTTATGATGCCCACAATACAATGTCTATAGTTTCGTATGAATCAGAAACTAAAATGTTCAATATTTGCAAACTAGAATATAAAATAAGAATCTCCTACCTTTTCATTTCTGAGATATCATGATGTTTAGCAAACCCATCATAGTGGCTCCACCCACCACTTCATTACTTGAGAAGACTTATTTATCTATGCCTACTTCTTATACTAATAACTTTATAATCAATCAAAAGCTATATATTTATTCTACATGATTCTGACAGTCTTCCTAAGTTATTTACGAGAGAAAAGCTCTTATATCATTGGAAAGTTTGAAGTATTGCTATCAAGGCTGTTTTGTGAATAGAAATTATTTTTTAGACCCAAATACAATTTAGTTAGGAAGCCTGATAAATAACAGTGGATTTTTGGGGTATTGAGATAGTAATTTATAATTTTTTGTATTCC